GGAGCCGTCGGGCACTGGAGAAACCTCCTCCGATCGCCAGGAGGAAACGTTTTAATCGTGTCCTCCTGCAGAAATGTTCCCTTAAGTCCCAAACAAGGAAAAGCAGGACCAGCTCCGGCAAGGCCGACCGCTGCGGGAAGTCGGGTGGCGTTTGGCCGCCCGCCGCGGCCCCCCTGGCAGCGCAGCGCGCGCCTCCCCGGCCGTGGGCGACCTTGTTGCGCGTTGGCAGCGGCAGAGCAGTGCCTTCGCCTTTCCGTGCTGAAGGAACGGCGTTTCTGTTTTAGCCTTAGAGTTAACCCCTAGGTGTTGCAGCCTGTCCAGCTTAGCTTCCCGTTTCCCCTGGCACCTTTTCCCGCGGCCAAAATTGTCGAGGCCGGGCACTCAACCCGCGTCCCGCTTGCAGTTCTTCGAGGGCAAGGAGCTGCGGCTGAAGCAGGAGTACTTCGTGGTGGCTGCCACCCTCCAGGACATCATACGCCGCTTCAAAGCCTCCAAATTCGGGAGCACGGAGAGCGTCCGGACCGTGTTTGATTCCTTCCCTGAGGTTCCGCCTCCTCCCGGGCACATCCCTGGCTCCGGCCGGTGTCTCCGGGTCCGGCTGGTGTCTCCTGGCCGGGCCGTGGTGCCGGGGCCCGGTGGGGAAGCAGGGGCACCTGCAGACCACCTGCCGGCCAACCCCTCCTGTGCTCTCTGCAGGTCGCCATCCAGCTCAACGACACGCACCCCGCCATGGCGATCCCAGAGCTGATGAGGATTTTTGTGGATATTGAAAAGCTGCCTTGGAGCAAGGTTTGGAAAAGACCTCTTTCAAGCGAGGCTGCAGGGTCTGGCCCCACTGCTTGACGTGCATGCAGATGTTTGCAGCGTCGGCACCGCGCGCGCACCCATCCCCGTTGCCTGCTCCGCTTGTGCAACGGGTGCTGCACCCTCGTACCCCGGCGTTCGGACCGTTCCCTCGTCTGTCCTGCAAATTAACCCTTCCCCAGCGCCTGAGAGCGGCAGGGCTTCGGCGAAGGCCTCCTG